AACCTGGTCCTTTGATTTTGAAAATCCCTGGGTCTAGAAAGGTGAGATGAATACAACATGAATACAACAGTTATTTGAGGACTTTGGTTACTGTCCATACCTTGGTCTATCAGCTCTGTCACAACTCATACGGAAGGTAAAGTTTGTTCAATTTATAATCTTTGCTTCTTCTTGAGCTCAAGGTAGGAAGAAAAAAACCCATTGTTTTTGCAACTTTACCTACTCCCATGAGGTGAGCATGCCTCATTTTTCCTGTTGTCATTTCTGTGGGTACTAACGCTAATGGATATTGTGTCTTTTGTACTTAATTCACACTTTGTTACTCCTTGTTGTATAAGTGTTTGTGTTTTGGTATATGTGTGAAAATATGTATAAACTTGTATGTGTGATAATATTTGAGTGCGAAATACATTTATTGGTTTGTTCAACAGATATTTATTGCAAACTTATCTGTGTTAATTGATGAGGATAGGATTATTGACAGTCTTATCTTCTAAGAATTTATGAAATAGAAAAAAACCAGGGTGACTTGGAAGTAAATATATATTATGAAATAGTAAATATGTATTAATAGTAGTAAGCATAAAACCTGGAGAAGCAGAGAGATGGAAAATAACGACTCAGGTTAATAGGAGTCCATGAAAGAAGTGACAAAGTGAAATGACATTAGAGGAGAGTATTGGAGGATGACTAGGAGTTTATCTAGTTAATAAAGCTAGAAGTGAATTTCTGTAGGGGAGACGGCATAGGCAAAAGCACAGGTTCACGTACCTGTGGATATGGCAGGGGCATGAGTTAAGAGTTAGGAAGTGGGGAGAGATGGCCTTGCAGACATCTGCAGTCAGACAGAGATGGTTTAGGACCTGATCATGCATTTGGATTTAAGTCTATAAACAATGGAGAGTTATTGAATTGGTTTTTAGGGAATTTAAAATGATACAATGATCATTTTCTAAAGATTATTCTATTATTTGAAAGAACAACATGGGAGGCAGAGAAATCATACAGGTATAACAAGTAGATACAATGGGGTCAGAAAATAGGTTAATGGTACTGAGAATAGAGAGGAGGAGAGAGATTTGAGATCTGACTTAAAATCTAGTGGGAATTTAAACTGTCCTGGAGGTGTAAAAGGAAGGAAGGAAGAGAAAACAGCTCCTATTTTCAATCTGAGAGACTGTCTTAATAGTTCCTTAAGGAACAGTATGTTAGTAAAGAAGGAAATGACAGAAACAAGGAGTAGTTATGTCAATATTAGAAAAAAAAGAATGGAGAGACGGAGTATAATAACTTTGACTTCAATTGGAAGTTAAATGAGAAAATGCATGTAAAGTGACTATTCCATATGCGTGCATTAAGTATCACATTTATTGTTTTTCTAGATAATTAAAACTCATCATGTCCCAAATAATAACTGTGTTTATATAACTTATTTAATTTAATCCTTGCAGCAAATGGAAAAACAGATACTAATATCCTCATTTTACAGATGTAGAAACTGAGGCTTATGTAATTTAAATGACTTACTCAAGATGATGTATTTATTAATTCAAACCAAGCTGTCTGTCCGCAAAACTTTTGTTATAACTATCAATATCATCATCATCACCATAATTATAATATCCATTGTACAAGTAACGGGATTGTCAGTGAAGTCAGTAGGAAGTCTGATATGTGCATCAGAACTTTGGGGGGAAAAAAAAGCCCAGTTGCTTACAGAGATTTGGAAGTCACCGAAAATTAAATGATAGCCAAATTCAGAGGTCATTTAGAGAGAGTGTTTAGGCTCGGAAAGTGAAAAGAGGAAAATGCCAATTTAAATGATGGACAGAATGAAAAAGATGATAAAGGAAAAGAAAAGATGTCATCAGAGGAAAAAGGGAGTAAGAGAAGGCAAGGGAGAATACAGCTTCAAAAGTATCTGTAGTTTTAATGATGACTGTTAGATCAAGCAAGATAACCAAGAGCAAATTCAATAGATTTGGCCATTGAAATGTCACTTTTAATGCGCAAAATCGATTCATTGGAGAGATGAAAAACATTATTTTGAGAAGTTTAGAGTGAAAGGTAAGATGACAAATATATTCATTCCTTTGTTAGAAGGAAAGCCAATAGCTCAAGAGATGGGAAGGTAAAGGAAAAACAGTGGTTATAATTGTTGGAGAAATAGCCAGAGAAGAAATATGTGGAGTTTAGAGCACAAGAGAATATCCTCTTTTAGCTGCAACAACTCTCCCCCTGAGAGGAAAGGGTGGATTACCTCAGGTTTGTAGGGAGGAGTCTGGAGAGGTGAGCAAATTTGATTTTACTGAAACAAAGAAACCTGTAAGGCAGAAGTAAGAAGGAGACTGGAATAAGCATAAGGTAGGCTTTAAATGCTCAACTAGGGAATTTGAAGTTTATTTAATGGTATAAAGGAAGCCATTTACTTTGAAAGATTCATCAGTTAGTGGAGTCCAAGCTGTATTAGACTCTAGGGTGTAGAAATAAGTTAGAAAGTATTGAAGTAATACAAGCAGAATCGAATGAAATACTAGACTAACAACAATGACAGTGTCAATGAAAAGAAAGGTCAGAGATTTGAAAGATGAGCCAAAAAGATGAACTTGATGATTGATCAACTTGAGGCAAAAAGGAAAATAAAGAAGTCAAAGCTGATTTTATGTTTTCAGGTCACCATGTTTAGGGAAAATGGCGGTGGTATTTGCAGGAAAAGGGAAGTTAAAAATTATTTGTGGCATAAAGTTAAGAGGAAAATTAAATTTCATACATGTTGATTTACAGGCAGAAACGAAATACTCTAGTATTGTAAATATTGTAAATATTTAGCAAAAAATTGACAATGTAGGATTCAAGTTAAGAATAGTGGTCAGATGTCAGATAACTTTTGAGACAGTCTAGATATAGGTGATAGTTGAGGCAAAATGAGATCCCTAAGGAACAATATGCCAGTAAAGAAGGAGAGGAAGAAAACAAGCCGTGAGGGATATTAAGCTATTGCAGATATTTTTGCTGATGCCACTTAGTCTCCTCTCTACTGGAACCCAAACTACAGAAAGATAGCACATCTCTCTCTTTCCTATGTGTACTACCAACCTCTGCCTTACATTTTGCCAAATCCTAATTTTGTGGTCCATTCCATTTATGGCTCCTGCTGTGGATTCAGACAGAGGCCATTTCCAGAGTGTGTCTCTAAAAACAGAAGCAGCACTCCTATTCAGTGGGACAATATCATGTCTGAGCTTGGGAGCCAGACTACCTGGGACTGAATCCTGATTCAATAATTTACTAATTCCATGGCCCAGAAAGTTTTGTTGTTGTTTTTATTTAATACTCACTGGGCCTCAGAATTCATATCTATAAAATGAGGATATTAGTAGTGTCTATATCTTGAGACTCTTCTGAGGATTAAATAAGTTAATAAATAATAAATACTGAAAGGGTGCCTGGAAGATATTAAGAGCCATGCAAGGTAAGTTTTTAAGTTATAGCTGTTATTATTATTATCAACATTATTAGTATTAGTATTCTGTTCTTCTACCCAGCATACAAGGTCCTAGACACAATAGTTAGGCTCCTGTATCTCTCACCACATCTCCTACATTGAAAATCTAGTGCAGTAATCTGAGTGTTAGAGGTAAATTTATGACAACTGTACAGTCACCAATGGCACCAGACTCAAGCTGACTCTGCTCCATGTTGGCCCTGCTGACAGACCTGGCATATGCCCTGATGACCCTCCTTAAATTTGATTGGTTATTCTACCTGGTTCTTGAATCCTCCCTTTTGTTACAAAAATCTGTCCCTAAACTTAAAAAATTTGGTTGGGAACTTACTACAAGGTTTAGTTCTTTCCAGAATATTTTCAACTGACAACATCTAAAAACCTTAACCTCAGCCAACTTTAGGAGCTAAGCCATTTATGAACATATTTGGGATTGAGGATAACTTTCTCAGTCTCTTGAGCATTGTTTGGATTTCTCCATGCCAAGTCCACCTACATGATTGGATTTTTCAGTACTAGCTGCTCCTGTTGGAATTGGGACTGAAATTAGATTGAAGATTTAAAAGCTCAGATGATAGAACAGGACACTAGGGCTTTGAATTCCAGTCCTGACCATTGATATCTGTGTGACTAGCAAGTTACTTAACATCTCTACCCCTTAATTTCTTCAACTGTAAAATAGAGATTTGAAAATATACTTCCTCATAGGATTGTTGTGAAGATTAAATAAACTAATACACAGAGTCCTTAGAAAAATGCCGGACACATAGCAAGCACTTAATAAGTGTTATTCGTTATTATCAGACACAGTTGGAACTCCATAGCTGAAGAAGTCAGCCTATCCATATTGCCTTAATCAAGCCTCCATCTCAGGTCCCTTACTATCTCTCTTAGTTGAGCTCCCTGAGAGCAGGGCCTAAGAAAAGAGCTTGGATGCAGGTTGTTTATTTGAAAATTGATTTCAGAAAATGGTATAAGGAAGCAGTAAGAGTGAGACAGAAAACAAGTGAAAACCAATAAAGTGTGGATTATTGAAGTTGTTAATCTAGACCATGCATTCTCAATGGGGGCAATATGGACCCCAAAGTTCTTGGAAGGAGAAAGAAATCTTAGAGGTTCTTGGAAGGAAATAGAAATCTTAGATATTGCAAAGGTTTGTGGCTCTCCAAAGGCTGCAGTACATAAATAGATTAAATAGATAGACAGTAAATGTGTGCTATTAAAATTTCTTGAGGGATGGTGATTAGGAAAAAAAATTCCAAAGAAGCCCCTTAGAGGAAATAATAATAATAATAGTAATAAACATGGCATAGACAATAGGGGTTTAACTCCATAAAGCCCAATTTCTAAGAAGCTCCCAGAAATGTCTGGTGCATTTATTCATCAACTCCCATTGTCCATTGGTTAAAGGTTGCCTCTGGGACATTACCTTGCCCCTCTTTCCAATGCCCTGGGCAGAATGCTGAAAGACAGAATGTCAGGGTGCCAGGCGAGTCACAGCTGTACACAACAGCTGAAGCTGAGGTCAGAGATGAGCTGAGATTGTGTGTCTTGGGCTATAAAATCTGTTGATATCCAATTCAGAAGTTCAAGCTCTTGCTTGGCCCTGGCTTCTTTCACTTGAACAAGGCCCTGGGCACTAAAGTCTCATTGTGTTATACTTCTGAATGTCACATTTGTTCATTCTTCTTTTCCTCTGTCACATGAAATAGTTTTACAAGGGCCAGGATCATGGTCCATGGACATAAAGTTCTTTTTTCTTTCTTTACTTTCTTTGGATTGCTACTGAAAAAGCCTCTTTGAAAAACACTATAGAAAAAAGTAAGAACTAGTAAGTGTAATTTATCTGTTTGATCCTGCAAAGCATATTTGAACCTCCTACACTATCATTGACAAATTTGTCATTGACCTCTGTGTTTTGATTTTGAAATACAGTAGAAAAAGTGGTTTTTATTGACTAAAGAAGTTCACCTCATTCTCAGACTGCTAATCTGGATAAATGCAACATATTTCTTGAGAAGAAAAAAATGAAATTTAACCAAAGACAATTCCCCTAATATATCTTCATAGTAATTTAGCAATATGTAAATATGTTTACATCAGGATTAGCTGAGAAGCCATATTAAGTGTGATACTCAGCCTACCAAGTGGATTAAGCAATGAAAAATATGTTTAAAAATTATGTAAATTGGTGGAAACAACAGTATGCATCCTAATGCTAAAGGCACTTTGTAGGAAGCAGCTAAAACCCAATTTCCAACTGGGTGCCCTCATTAACATTGTGCTTGTTCATAAAGCTTGTGAAATCATACTTTCAGAATGTATCTGTTTTATGATGACAGGTAAACAAGAATAAACACCAATGGGAGAAGGAAACCAAACTTCTGTGGCAGAATTTATCTTGCTCGGACTTTCACAGGATCCAAAGATCCAGATCTTGCTGTTCTGTCTTTTCCTGATCATTTACCTTCTCTCTATATTTGGAAACCTGCTCATAATTACCCTTATCCAGACTGACTCTCGACTTCACCATCCCATGTACTTTTTCCTCAAAAACTTGTCCTTTGCTGACCTATGTTTCTCTACAAGCATCGTTCCTCAGATGTTGGTCCACTTCCTTGTGAAAAAGAAAACCATTTCCTTTGCTGGATGTTCACTACAGATAGTTGTCTTCCTCCTAGCAGGGTGTACAGAGTGTGCACTTCTGGCAGTGATGTCCTATGACCGCTATGTGGCCGTCTGCAAGCCCCTGCACTACTCCACCATCATGACCCAGAGGGCTTGTGTCCAGTTGGCCATCATGTCCTGGATCAGTGGGGTATTTGTAAGTTCAGTGGACAGTGCATTTACACTTTTTCTCCCCTTCCAGGGACAGAATGTAATTAATCATTATTTTTGTGAACCTCCTGCACTCCTGAAGCTGGCTTCAGCAGACACCTACAGTGCTGAGATGGCCCTCTTTTCAATGGGCGTGATTATCCTCTTAGCACCCCTCTCCCTCATCCTTGTCTCCTACTGGCATATTATCTCCGCTGTGACTCAGATGCAGTCAGGGGAGGGGAGGCTCAAGGTATTCTCTACCTGTGGCTCCCATCTCACTGTTGTGGTTCTCTACTATGGCTCTGGAATATTTGCCTACATGAGACCCAATTCCAAGGCAATGAATGAAAAGGATAAGGTCATCTCCGTGTTCTATTCAGTTATGACTTCCATGTTGAACCCTATCATTTACAGCCTGAGGAATAAGGATGTGAAGGGGGCTCTCAGGAAGCTGGCTGGAAGATAGTCTACCTTCGGAGGCAGTGGTTTCTGACATTTTTCTTAAGTACTTGGAACACCATGATTGACAATAGCTCTGCTATCCTCATCCTTTCCTTCACATGCTTTATTTGCCTCGACTGATTTTCTTCTCCACAAATATTTATTAAATGTCTGCTGTGTGCAAGCACTGTGCCAGAATCTCTCAATATGAATAAAATTCAGCGCCTTTCTTAAAAGGTTTCATTGCCTCTGGGACAACAGAGAGCCATGCTCTGTTCTAAGGGGAGGTTCACTCTTCTGTTATCTTATGGTCTCTTTCTGCAATTCTTCCCAGAAGGAAATGCCCTTGTAGCAGAGTAAACTCACCCTTGAAATGTTGCCCCAAGGAAAATGATTAATCTCCCTGAACGTATTTCTAGCATCCTTCAGCCTTCAGACTAATGAGCTGGGAAGCCCAAGTTACCATACAGTCACCTGTGGGCTTGCTGAAGACTTTTTCCATGTTCCTGACTAAATCAACAGTGACTGCCAAAAAGCCAGCATTCAGTCCAGACATTGAATGTCTTGTGATTTCTATGGAATGCTACCCATAGGGGCTCTACTTCCAATTGCCTTATTTCCAGTTAAAAGTGATTGAATCTCATAGTGTTTCTGTAACTTTGAGGCCCTTCCTGCAATGAATTTAACTGGACTGCATCATGACCATTCCTAAAGAAGACATTTCTTCTTTCTCCTTTCTCTGGCCTCCATTTTTTGTTGGGTGTTTATGTACAGTGTGTGCAGATGTGAAAGAGTATACGAGCATGTGCAATTGTCTGTGTGTATGTGTGTCTGTCTGTGACAAGTAAACTTAACTATATAGAATTCTCTGCTAGTAGTACTGAATCTGATTCCTTCTCACTCCTTGACTAAATGCTACTTTATCTCAGCCCAATCTCATGTCTCACTCAATTGTTTTCCTTACCTTCCTCATCCTTCTAGCTGTCTGCATTTCCACCAATAAGTGTGAGAGTGCCTTAAAACTTAGCATTCTTATTTTTGGAGGAGAGAGAAGGAAGGTGAGTTGAACACTCAGAAAATAAAAACTAAGTGCTTCCTTTTCTGATTATGAAAGGAATAAGGTGAAAAGTATTTAAAAAAATAAAATCACATATAATCCTGTTTCCAGAAATAAATTCTGCTGACATTTAAATTTTTATCCTTTCAGAATTTTCTCTCTCTCTCTTTTTCACAAGAGAGCATGCAGTGGTGGTGAGGTAATAAGAATTAAAATTGCTCCATGTACATGAGGAACTAGAATAAGGTATTGCTTTGAGTGGGGCTTCTTTTTCCGTACATGTTCACCAAACCCCCCGTAAGAGGAATTTGAATAAAACTGTTGCCAACCTGCTTCCTAGTACTGTGGATCTATGAAAAGCTGTCAGCCCAAGAAGGTTGGAGGACATAACATAATATTTAGACCAAATATAGAAAGTTTTAGGATTGATGTCAGGGACAAGAGCTCCGAAATGCTGTTATAAGATTTGATATTGAAAGTGCCTGGTGTAAACAACTACCAAAAGTATTTTGGGCAGGAAAAAGTAATCATCTAATTGAGTTGAGGTGGGACAAGAAAGAAAAAGAGAAATTAGGAGGAGGAGGAAAAAGAGGAGGAAGAGGAGAATGAGGAAGAGGAGGAGGAGGGGGAGAAGGAGGAGGAGAGAGAAAAGAGAGAAAAAGAGCTAAATCCATGATCAAGGTGTCAGCAGGTTTGGTTTCTCCTGAATCTCTCCTTGGCTTGGAGATGGCCGTCTTCTTGCTGAGTCTTCACTTGGTCTTTCCTCTTTCCATATGCACCCTAGTCTCTCTTTGTGTGTCTAAATTTCCTCTTCTTATAAGGACACCAGTCAGATTGAATTAGGGCCCACCCTAATGGCCTCCTTTTAACTTAATCAGCTCTTCAAAGGCCCTATCTCCAAATACAGTTGTGTTCTGAGGTTTTAGGAGTTAGGCCTTCAACATATGAATTTTGGGAGGGCACAATTCAGCCCATGATACAGATCCTCTACTCAGATTACTGTGACATGCACAAAGCCTCCATTAGCTGGTCACATATGACTCCTTCTTAATTAATAGTGTATCCCTCTGTTAGTGGTCACCTCAACCTGCCAGGTGGTTCTGTTGGGCTGAGTCCCTTTTACAAAGAGCCCTGACTTAATGCTCTTCCACAGGATCCACGTAGGCCCAAGAGGAGTCACGTTTGTACCTTGTCTTGCTAAATTCTGGGAGTGTGGAATGCTGTGTCTCTTCTCTTCAACCAGGGACACCATGCCAGTCTATAATGGACATTTGGATTTTTTATGTGTGAGGAAAGTACCTGTTCTAGCACCCTTCAAATTCCAGATAAGACACATGAAATTCTTTAGTAGGACTTTTGAAGCTCTTGTCATTTAAGATGAAGGAAGCGCCTTATTTTCTCATGGAGGGAGGAGTAAAAGACTATGCCGAAAGATGTCTTCAAAATATTCCTCTCCATCAGCTTCCAACTATTTCTCTTTTATACCTCAGAAGGGTTGATGGTTTAGTGCTTGTAAATTATCTACTAATCACCTCCATGTAAGTCCCCCCAATATTGTAGCACCTCAATTTAGACTTTGGAGGTACATGGAAAATATTGTTTTATTTTTATATTTTAGATAATTCTATTCTGTTACGTTAATGTAGATGCAATAATCTAACTGAAATCCTAAGAAATTGAGTCAGGAATATAATTAAAATATAATGTGCCATGATATTTTTATTTATTCCTCATTAGACTCATCATTCAGTTATTTCCTTTATCTCTTCATCTTTTTGTACTTTCTAGTGAATTTAAGACTATACCTCTGAGCATTCATTATTATAAACATCATTGTCTTACAATATAGTAAATGAGGGCAATGTTCTGCAAATATCCTTTTGACCCTATCATTTTAGGGCATGCTGACTTCCAACAGCCAATATCTGCGTCTTTTGCATTAAGACTTTGTTTGGCTGACGTGCCAGTTCTGCCTCCATGCCTAGAAGGCTAAAATGGCCCAGGGAATTAATGTACTCTGAAGCAACCAGGACTTAATTGATGATTGATGAGAGTTGGCATGTAAATACCCCACATCCCTCACACCTTAGGTGTGATTTGCCTCTGAGATACGTGCTCTACTCTGTTTCTCAGAGTTCCCCAAGAGGGTTAAGATCCAGTTGCCCACAGTAACTTGCTGGATGACACACCCTTTATTGACTCTTTTGCTTTTCTGTCCCACTTCCCTACCCTGCTAATTTTTCCTGAAATCTCTTCCCAAATAAACTTGTTGCACTCAAATCCTTGTTCAGGGTCAACTTCTGAGTGACCCAAAAGTAAGACACACTCCCTGTTTATAATTATTTTCTCTTTGCTGCAATTGTCTCAGAATGCAAGTTATCTCTGCCTAATCCTTTTATATTCATTGAAAACTGTGTTCTCTGCATGTCTGAGTGAAGGAGGTAGAGGAGAAGGGAAGATATGGGGAAGGCTCTGACTTGGCCTAGCTCCTGCATATTTCTCCATTTTCTGGTCTGGGGGGTAGGCTTTATTCTAGAATTCCACATAAATAAAACTTAGCCTAAATTCTTTGGATATGCCAGTCTTTAAATGCTCCCAAGTTTGAAGTAAAAATTATGTTTTTTAATATAACCTTTTTTTTTTTTTATTATAGAGTTGGTAGAGATGTCTTCTAAACCTTGTCATATAGCTCTTTCTTATCCCTGGTTTACTGACCTGAAGTCAGCTTTTAAAAATATTTATATCCTCATGGATATTTTAGTTGGAATTTGAGAGGACCTGTGGAAGACACTTTCATTCATTCATTTATTAATTCAGCAAACATTTATTGAGTACAAATCCTCCACCAGTTACATGCTGGAAGCTAGAGATGTGATTGGAAACAAAACAGGCCTAGTTCTTGCCCTTCTGGAGCTTATATACTAGTGTAGTGTGCTACCGGATAACCCAGAGATGAGAAAGAAAACAAGTATTGGTGCTAGCATGAAACAAAGTGGTAGTCTTTTTTTGCACCAAAAGAAGGAGGAGTATGGGAATTTAGTGGTTGTAAAAGATACCCAGTAGCATAAAACAGTACACACTACTGGATTTTGCAAAGAGGACATTGGTGATCTTGGGACAAAGAATGTCAGTTCAGCTCACGTGGGGCGCTTGGCAGGAGGTGATATAAACAGGCTGAGGAGTGCAGTGCAGAATTGAAATGTGCCACAAAGTGTGCCATAAAGTGAAGTCTGAGCCATAAAAACTATCTACACTTGATGCCTCAGGTTCTCTCTTTTCTCACACTGCCTGGAATGGAAATGACTTGTTGTCAACCTGGGAACCACATATTGAAGGTATTGCCTTTGCCAAATGGGGAAGCCTGGGCCCCTGAAGCATCTCTTAGAGGAAAGCAGTCAAGGACAGCTTCCTAACCAAGAAATCTGCCTTGGACTGTTACATGAGTGAGAAATACAATTTTATTGGTTATGCTACTGTCATTTCTGGGTTGTCTGATATAGTAGGTAGCAAGTATCTCCTTCACATATACTGAATTAGCAATTCAAAGTAGACGTAGACTCAGTTATTACAAATGCTTTTTCAAGAAATTTGTTGCAAAAATGGGGGGATTTTAAAGAAATAGTCTGAAAGGAAAGGAAAACCAAGGAACTGTTGTTTTGTTTTTTTTTGTCTGAGGAAGGTTTGCCCTGAGTTAACATCCACTGCCAATTTTCCTCTTTTTGTATGTGAGCTGCCACCACAGCATAGCCACTGACAGACGAGTGGTGTAGATCAGCGCCTGGAAACCAAACCCAGGCTGCCAAAGTGGAGCATGCTGAACTTAACCACTAGCCCACTGGGGCTGGCCCAAGGGATTGTTTTTTGAACAGGGAAATATTGATCAAATTTGGAACCTAAATCAGAGGATTGAGAGAGAGCTTAAAATACAAGAAGAACATGCAAATGAAGGAGCAAAGAGAGCAGGCAGTGAAGATGAGAAAGAATCTCAATAATAATTGGAGAAGTCAATGCCACAGTGGTGAAGGTGCATTTATTCCTTTGAAATAAAAGACCGAGCAGTAAAGTTAATTCCTACATAAGACAATGAGGAGGTGAAAGAAAGTTTGCATCTGAGGGATTTAATCACCTGTGATCTTTATTTTATCTGTAGAGAAGAAACCAAGATTGAAAGTCAGTTGCGTTCGGACTTAATTCCTCATTACCGTAAACTCACCACCTGAAATAAAACCTAGGACTTTTGACAATAGCCTTCATCTAACCATTAGGTCTCTGCCTCCTTTCGTTTTGGTAACTATTGTCCCAACTCCTATGTCCATCATTCTCTTTTTCACTCTTTTATATATTTTTACTGAATCTACATGTATTCATAAAAAATTATTTTCATTTGAGTTTTTAACTCCATAAAAGGAATATCATGATATATACTCCTTACGACTCCCTTTTTTCAAGTAATATTAGATTACTGAGTTATTCATTTTCGTGTATGTCCTTCTGGTTTCGTTGTTCTTATTTCTGTATAATATCACTATGCGTGAACAATTGTCCATTCCATTGTTAGTGGTCATAAGGGTTGTTTCCAGTTTTTCTTCTCTTGTGAATAGTGCTGCTCTTATACTGCACATATGTAAAAGCTTCTCTTGGATATGTTCCCTTTATAATGAGAAAAATAGAAAGATCCTGTATTATATTTCTCTTGTACTTGTGAAATAATTTTCTTGAGTATATTGTTTTCACAATTGCAAAATGAAAACTTATTTTTGGGGGCTGGCCCTGTGGCCGAGTGGTTGGGTTCATGTGCTCTGCTTTGGCAAACCAGCATTTTGCCGGTTTGAATCCTGGGCGCAGACATGGCACTGCTCGTCAGGCCATGCTGAGGCGGCATCCCACATGCCACAACTAGAAGGACCCACAACTGAAAATAGACAACTATGTACTGGGGGGATTTGGGAGAAAAAGGGAAAAATAAAATCTTAAGAAAAAACCCAAAAATATCTTATTTTTAATTTTCTTAAAGTTGAAAGAAAAAGATATAACTCCAGTAGCAGTTTCAGCATTTACTAGCAAAATCAGTGATTAAAGAGAGACTGGATAATGAGGAAGACCTGGCAAAAACTGAGTGAGAGAATGGCCTGAACTAGAGCAGTGATGGGTGGAGGCAGGTGTGCGTCATCATCCGAGAGCTCTAAGCAGCTGAGCCCACGGGACACAGAAAGCAGGGACGTAGATACATTGCTGCACATCCATGTGCACATGCATTAGAGGGAGTAGAAAAGAGAAACAAATAACTTAAAATCATAGAAAGGTCCAATAAATCAGTGCTTTAATGGTAGTTAAAGGTCAAGGAAGGAAGACCTGATATGAACAGAAGCACTGCAAGGTTCCCTTCCCTCTAGCTGGTAAGAGCTCAGGCTAGAGGCTCAAGGAGGGAGACGGGGAGTGGCAGCATCTACAGAACCTTTGAGACGTGCTTTATAATTTGGGCAGAGGACTAGCTGGAGGGGCCCTTATTCTTAGGTCAGTTACTGACACTGCCCCCTTATTCAGAGTTTTGGAAACAGCCTCAGCAAGTCCATATGAAACATAACAAGCCCTCAGTCCTCAGAGCTCACTTAGTGGGTGAAGTTTGCAGGAGTGGGAGGCCAGGGACATGCCCGGGGATTCATTAAAATCTTGTTTCCTGGAACAGCATTTTCAGGAAGGTCATGTCAGCTGAGGGGAGGAGACCGTGATGCCTCCCCCAGGACAGGGCCTCAGCTCACTGTTACCCCAGGGACAGTGAGGCCGCGCACCATAGCATCTCCTTTGGGAAGCTCCTCTCATATGTTTTTACCCAATTTCCTGCTGTGCTCATCTTTTATTGTGGACTCCAGCAGGAGAGGAACACATGAAAATCTGAGTACCTGGACTCAAGAACTTAGCCAGAAGCATGCCACCACTGTGAAGGCTTTCTCACAAGACTGGACAAGAGAAGTTGGGAGGGATTTAGCTCCTTGCTTCCTGCCTAGGTTCTCAGCTGCCTGTCTGCATCCATCTCTACCCCAAGACAGGATTTGTAATGCCAGTGACTGGAGGAGTCTTTGACCTCTGAACTCAGACGCAGCCAGACACACACCCACATCCCACCCCGCCAGAACCACCTCCTCGTACTTCATCTTCTTGAACATTTTCATCCCTGAAACAGGGCACTAGGTGTGGTCTGGCAGCCGTGCCCCTCCTCCTCTGAGGTAAGGGCTCTGTCTGCTTCTAGAATTTTGGGGAATCTGGAAGTCTTGAGAAATCTTAGTCTTGAGGGCTAAGACCTCACTGATATACTTCTCAGATTCTATAGTCCCTTAGGCTTTATAGCTCACCCACTCCCTCTACACTCTAGGCACCCTGCATGTGTGGGTGCACCCACAATCAGTCTGTTCCTCTGACCGGACCTGGGTTCCTGTACTTCCTGAGGCTGGCGTCCAGGTAAAAGTCTCAGTACTTACCTTTGGACCTGGATTACCCTGGTCTCTACTAGTCTACTAGATGTGTGCCCGTAAAAGAGTGTATCTCCAAAGAGGGTCATCTAGAATTAGCTGAAGTTTCTCTTTCCTTTATGCTTGCTTGTCATTTCAGTCCAAAGCCACAGAAAAAGCCAATCGAAGTCAGTGACGTTTTTAAAAAATACTGAGCAATGATACAGAGAAATAACATAAAAATATGCCTCCCAATTTTTAGCTCCATCTTGTGAAATGGCTCTGTCTGACCATTTCCTCTGAAGTACAACAATGTTCCTCTGTTAATCTCAGTCTCAGCTGACTTCTCGTGGGCTGAGTTGCCCCCCAACAGCAGTTTTCCATAAAGGGGGCTCTTCCTCTGTAGGCCCAGTGTGTGTTCTCTGGACGTTATTTTCAGATGGCCTTAGAGGAGAGGAGGCAGAGAATGGAAGAGGAAGAAAAGCAGGGGTCTGAATCAAGGAGAGGAAGGCAGATAGGTAGGATCCTGAGTCCTAAGGATTACCACCTTACTTAAGCCCTGTATTTTCTGTTCTTCAAAATCCTGTCCAAACTCCTGATGAAAAAATCTGGAAATGTGTGCCTAACTCTCTTCTTCCCTTTATTATTCTATCCCTTCATCTTTTTTTTTCTTTTTTGAGGACGATTAGCCCTGAGCTAGCATCTGTGCCCATCTTCCTCTCTTTTATATGTGAGATGTCTGCCACAGCATGGCTTGACAAGCTGTGCATAGGTCCACACCCAGGATCAGAACCAGCGAACCCTGGGCCACCGAAGCAGAATGTGCAAACTTAACCACTGATCCACCAGCCTGGCCTCTATCCCTTCATCTTTTTAGTCCAATAAAAGCAAAAATATTTTAAGTCAAGTATTCACCAGGAACAATGCTAGAAATTGTCTTTGAATTTATCATGCTATTGTCAGTAGGCAAAGGTCTTCCTTCCTATACTTTTTACTTTAAACCCATAGTTTTGGTTTTGTGAGGCAAAGGAAAGGTCTCAGATCCCAAGCAATGATGAGACAGAGTTTTACAGGGGACATTTTGCTGGCTGACTTCTAGCTCAGATTTCACTAAAGCAAAAGTGCAGGGAGGATCTTCTTTTTTAATTTTTTTTGGATTAACTCTTTTTTCGGTTTTAATTTTTATAGCAGTAACATTGGATTATAACATTACGTAACTTTCAGATGTACATCATAATATATTTCGAATTCTGTGTAGATTACATCATGTTCACCACCCAAAGACTAATTATAGTCCATCCCCTCACGTGTGAGCCTAATCACCTCTTTTGCTCTCCTCCCTCCCCACTTCCCCTCTGGTAACCACCAGTGCAATCTCTGTTGCTATGTGTTTCTTTTTAGCTTCTACTTATGAGTGAGATCGTATGGCATTTGACTTTCTGCCTCTGACTTATTTCACTCAGCATAATACCCTCAAGCCCCATCCACGTTGTCACAAATGGTTGGACTTCATCATTTCTTAATGCTGAGTAGTATTCCATTATGCATATATACCACATCTTCTTTATCCATTCGTCCCTTCATGGGCACCTAGGTTGCTTCCAAGCCTTGGCTATTGTGAATAATGCTGCAATGAACATAGGGGTTCATGTATCTTTATGCATTTGTGTTTTCAAGTTCTCTGGATAAATACCCAGCAGTGAAATAGCTGGGTCATATTGTAGATCTATTCTTAATTTTCTGAGGAAACTCCATACTGTTTTCCATAGTGGCTGCACCAGTTTGTACTCCCACCAGCAGTGTGCGAAGGTTCCCTTCTCTCCACATCCTCTCCAACACTTGTTGTTTCCTGTTTTGTTAATTATAGCCATTCTGACTGGAGTGAGGTGATATCTCATTGTAGTTTTGATTTGCATTTCTCCGATAGTTAATGATTTTGAACACGTTTTCATGTACTTGTTGGCCATCTGTGTATCTTGTTTGGAGAAATCTCTGTTCAGATCTTTTGCCTATTTTTTTTAATTGTGTTGTTGGTTTTCTTGTTGTAAGGAGGATCTTCTTCTGTAGTTCAGTGTCCTGACCTTCATAATGTTATTTCCTCTCTCTATTGTTATACCTGACCCTTTTTTGCTTAGTCACCTCCTATTCATCCTCAGCTTGTAGTTTATATGTCAAATCCTAAGGGAATTTTTTCCTGAAACCTTACATGGATTCATAGTATATTTTCCTTCATATATCAACCATCACCAGTGGATTTACGCAAGTGTTTGTGTAATGGGTTTTTCACCTGTATGCCATTTCTCTAGCATCAACTGTAGCACCTGATACATTGCAGATCTTTAGTAAATATTGAATGAATGAAAGGAGCTGGATCAGATGGGCCTTCTAATTTCAAGACTTTATGAACCTACCACTTCAAGGTCCCAACTCTAAGTTGATCAGGATGATGACATAAACAGAAGATAGGAGGTGTAGGAGCAGATGATACAAGGGAAAGATGAAGAATTTGGTCATGTATTCTTCTCTTCTCTTCCCAGAGAGCCTCCTAAGCCTCCATTCAACTGTGAATGAGCTGCATTCATAAAGAACAAACTAAGTGAACATTGTCCCACACACTCCACTTTTTCTCCTCCTCAACCCCTTCCACCAATATTATGATATAGATTCAGGGCTCAGCAGGACCAGCACTCCTCCACATACTGCTATATTTGTGAGATAACGGAATCTCCTTTTCCTGTTTGGGGTCTTGCTTTGACTCTCATGTGGTGGAATGGCTTTGGGACTTTTCTATGAAGTCTCCTCTTTTATAGCTCACCTCTTCTATCATATGCCCAAAATACAAATACCTTGAGATCTTTGTAAATCTCATCTATTACCTTTTCCTTGATTCCTCTCTAGCAAACATTTTACCATTACCTGAAAATAATCACATGCTTTTTGTATTGTTCCTGCGTGTCTACCTCCAAAATTCCTACTACCCTTACCATTCAATTCAGCCCAGAATTCTTTTTCCTTCCAACAGAGTAGTGATATGCTCATCAAAGATGTGAGGGTAGTTTAAGAACACAAGAGATCAAATGGTCCCAGAGCTGAGAGATTCCCTGCTGAGGAAGCTGTCAACAACGAGACCAGGAAGCAAAGGTAGATGTCACATCTGTAGAGAAGATATCATACAGCTTTATTATAATAAAAACTTCAAACCCTGAATTGAAATCTCAAGTATATTTTAAGCAGAAAACCAGCTAGATTTTAAACCAATGGCCAGTATATTTCTTTATGATGAAGATAGATATGTTTTTATCTATTTACAAAGATGTTTACTTGGGCACGTTCTCTTGGATATTTTATTTAAAGTGATCTCTAAATGATTAGCTATTTTCAAAGCAACATGCTTTCTTATTATTCAATAAAAAGATTAAGAAATTCAGAAGTAAGAGGGCAAACATAGCTACCAAGAGGAAAAGACACCATCCATTCCATCTCCTGGAATTCCTGTTGGCCACCCCATAGTGACATGAGACAATGCAAAACTAGGGTGAACTTACTCAGAAAGGCTTTCACTGAGAATCCATTTGATTCTAGGTAACTAAAGACACAACACGGAATGGAGCACTGGAATTCCACTCTAGAAAGTGGTTTCATATTGATGGGGATTCTGAATGACAGTGGGTCTCCCAAACTGCTGTGTGCTACAATCACAGTCTTGTACATGTTGGCCCTGACCAGCAACATCCTGCTGCTCCTGGTCATCACAATGGATGCCCGGCTCCATGTGCCCATGTACCTCCTGCTCGGGCAGCTCTCACTCATGGACCTCCTCTTCACGTCTGTTGTCACTCCCAAGGCCATCGTGGATTTTCTGCGCTGTGCAAATACTATCTCCTTTGGAGGCTGTGCCCTTCAGCTGTTTCTGGCACTGATGCTTGGTAGTGCAGAGGATCTCCTACTGGCCTTCATGGCCTATGACAGGTATGTGGCCATTTGCTATCCTCTGAACTACATGGTCCTCATGAGCCCCAGGGTCTGCTGGCTGATGGTCACCACATCCTGGATCCTGGCATTCCTGTGTGCTCTAGGACATACCATGTACACTATGCACTTCCCTTTCTGCAAATCCCGGAAGATCAGTCACCTGCTGTGTGAGATCCCACCTCTGCTGAAGTTGGCCTGTGCAGATGCCTCTAGATATGAGCTCATGGTGTATGTGACAGGTGTGACTTTCCTCTTGCTCCCTCTTTCTGTCATTGTTGCCTCTTATTCACTAATCCTACTTACTGTGCTCCACATTCCCTCAAATGAGGGGCGGCAGAAAGCCCTCGTCACCTGCTCTTCCCACCTGACTGTGGTTGGGATGTTCTATGGAGCTGCCACATTCATGTATGTCCTGCCCAGTTCCCTCCACAGCCCCAAGCAGGACAACATCATCTCTGTTTTCTACACGATTGTTACCCCAGCCCTGAACCCCCTCATCTATAGCCTCAGGAATAAGGAGGTCATGGGAGCCTTGATAAGGGTCTTGGGGAAATACATGCTACTGACACACTCCTGACAAATTACCAAGTAGACATGGTAGGGGTCTAAGATTCAATTTTAATATCATGCAGCAGTGAGAAACAGTAATACTTTTAGGATGACCAAACTCCAATAGGCTCTAAACATCAGAGAAGGACAACTCTCCCTTGAACTGGATTCTTAGACAATAGGGAGAATTATCCTTAGAAGATATGTTGGGCTTCTTGCTTATTAGGCAGATGGCTGTTCCAGCAATTAGTTGGAAAGAATAATAGATTTATGACTGCATTTATACTCCAGATTAAGGAGCAGTTTGGATTGAGTATATAAATAAATACAATACCTAAGTTGATGCAGTGGAGGAGGCTAACCAGGGTGTTTTTATACTGCCTGAAATCAAATTTAAAATCAAAATAGAGAAATGAACAAAAGAGAAGGTAAAGTATCCAAATTTGAAGTGATGATTGAGATGCAATAATAGTGAGAGACATATGTTATGTGTATTGCTTGAAGTCTTTAAAAATGTGACCTTACATGTATACAAACATACTTTGAAATATCAAAACAATAGCAAGGAGCTCATATTCTTGAAGTGAGAATATGTGTATGTCACTGTTCATGTGAAAGGAGGGATAAAATATATAATTCACTTTCTAGCTAGCTTAAATGTACTTTCTTTATTATTTGATTTATTTGTGCGGGAAGATTTATTACAAAAACTGGAAACTTAATCTGTTCTGTTAAGAAGCTCCATAATACCCTGGCTCACATAGTTGGAATTGAGGTTGAGGATGGTGCTTTGTGAAAAGTCAGAGTACTTTCTTTTCTTGACAGAAGCAATCTTAAATTGAATAATCTACAAAGTTAAGCCATAATATATAATCTACAGCTAATCTATAAAAGTAACCCAGGTTAATTATGAAAACTGAGAAAATTAAAAAATTTAGAAAGAAGCAAAAATCACCCAGAAAGTTTTCCTCTCATTTTTTTGTTTTCCACGTATGTATTTTACTGAATTGTTATGTACCTTGATAAAAGTCCTGCTTTTTTGTCATTTGAAATTTGGTGAACCTTCTTCCTTGTTAAGAGGGGACATTATAGTTTAGGGGTAGGGAGTGAGTGGCAGGAAGGGAGGGGGCCAGAGTGTGTGAGTGTGAATCTCTGCTCCCCCTATATCATCTGTGCATCTTTGGACACCAAATTAAACTCTTTGCACCTCAGTTTTCTCATTTAAAAGTGATGATAATAATAGCACTTATGATGTTTTGAGGAGGATTGAATAAGAAAATAAATTTCAAGTACTCAGACCAGAGTCTGGCAAATGGTGCATAAAACATGCTGCCTATCACACAACAGGTGGCAGTATGAGAGCCCCACCCACCCCTGCACCATGGCCTCATGCCACAGCTAGCAGGGTGAGAGCCCCACCCACCTCCACACCATGGCCTCATGCTGCAGCTGGGCTAGATGAGAACCCCATCCATTCCAATGCCACAGATGTGGCTCCACCACAGCAGTCAGGAGTCTGTAGCCCACACAGAGACACCCCTTGAATATCTAGCTCTGGTGGCCAGGAGGGATAGCACTTTTGGGCCCCATGTGTCATCTCCTACACAAGGCCACTCCTTCAAGACTGGGAGATATAATATTTGATTTGCCTAATATGTAGAAACAAAGAGTCAGGATAAATGAGGAAATAGAAGAATATGTTCCAAACAAAAGAACAAGAGAAAATAGAATAACATTTGCATTACAGGAGTCCCAGATGGGGAAGAGAGAGAAAAAGGCCCAGAATACTTATTTGAAGAAATAATGGCTGAAAACTTCCCTAATCTGGGGAAATAAACAGACATCCAGGTCCAGGAAGCCCAGAGGGTGCCAAATAAAATGAACCTAAAGAGGCCCACACCAAGACACATTATAATTAAAACAGTAAAAGTTAAAGAGAAAGATAGAATCCTAAAAGCAGTAAGAGAAAAAACACTTGTTACATACAAGGGAACCCTCATAAGGCTATGAGCAGATTTTTCAGCAGAAACTTTATAGACCAGAAGGGAGTGACATTACATATTCCAAATGCTGAAAGGAAAAAAAAGCTTCCAGCCAAGAATTCCCTACCCCATAAGGTCATCGTTCAGAATTGAAGGAGAGATTAAGATTTTCCCAGAGAAGCAAAAGATGAAGCAGTTCATCAACACTAAATTGGCCTTACAAGAAATGTTAAAGGGACTTCCTTAAGCTGAAAATAAATGGCACTAATTAACAACAAGAAAACATACAAAAGTAAAAAATCTCACTGGAAAGGTAAATTTATAGTAAAAGGTACTGGATCAATCACTTATAAAGCAGATATGAAAATTAAAAGACAAAATTAGTAAAAATACTACAACTGCAATAATTAGTTTAGAGATACATACAATTTAAAAGTGCAAATGTGACATCAAAAATATAAAACATGAGGGGGGAATAAAAGTGTAAAGGTTTGGAATATGTTCAAATTTAAGTTACTATCAAGTTAACACAAATCACTGCGTATATATAAGATGTTATATATGAACCACACTGTAATCACAAAGCAAAAAGTTATAGTAAATAAACAAAAGAAAATCAGAAAAGACTCTAAACATAACACTAAAGAAAGTCATCAAACCACAAGGACAGCGAGAAAGAGAAGAAGAAAGGGACAGAGGAACTACAACAACAGCTGGAAAACAAGGCACAAAATGACAATAAGTACATGCTTATTGATGATTATTTTAAAGATAAATTGACTAAATTCTCCAATCAAAAGACACTGAGTGGCTGAATGGATAAAAAAGCAAGACTCATCTATATGCTGTGTACAAAACACTCACTTCAAGACTAAGAAACACACAGACTAAAAGTGAAGGGATGGAGAAAGACATTCCATGCAAATGGAAACAAAAAGAAAACTGGTATAACTATACTCATATCAGACAAAATAGACTTTAAAACAAAGACTGTAATAAAAGAGAAAGAAGGGCATTACATAATGATAGAGGAGTCAATATAGGTATAAGATATAACATTTATAAATATATATACACCTAACATAGGAGCACCAAAATATCTAAAGCAAATATTAAGGGACCTAATGGGAGAAATTGACAGCAGTAGTAGGGGACTTTAGCACCCTGCTTACATCAATGGGTAGATCATCCAGACAGAAAATCAATAAGGAAACATCAACCTTAAATGACACATTAGACCAGATGGACCTAGCAGATATATACAGACCATTCCATCCAAAAGCCGAAGAATACACATTCTTCTCAGGTGAACATGGAACATTCTCCAGGATAGATCACATGTTAGGTATAAAGCCAAGTCTCAATAAACTCAAGAAGACTGAAATCTGGACTGGCCTGGTGATGTACTGGTTAACTTCACATGGGCCACTTTGGCAGACTGGGGTTCACTGGTTTGGATCCTGGGTGTGGACCTACACATTGCTCATCAAGTCATGCTGAGGTGGTGTCCCATATAGAAGAACTAGAAGGACATACAACTAGGATAGACAACTATGTACTGGGGCTTCATGGAGAAAATAAGAAAAGACAAATAATATCAAGTATCTTCTCTGAACATAATGGTATGAAACTAGAAATCAATTAGAAAAATAAAACTAGGAAAACCACAAAAATGTAGAGATTAAACATGCTCCTGAATAACCAATGGGTCATCAAAGAAATCAAAGAAGAAATTAAAAAATACCTTGAGAAAAATGAAAGCAGAAATATGACATAATAAAATCTATGGGATGCACCAAAAGCGTTTCTAAGGGGGAAGTTCATAGCAATACAGGCCTACTTCAAGAAACAATAAAAATCTCAAACAATCTAACTTTACACCTGAAAGAACTAGAAAAGGAAGTACAAATGAAGCCCAAAATTTGTGTAAGGAAGAAAATAATAAAGATTGGAGTGGAACTAAATGAAAAAGAGATTATAAAGACAACAGAAAACGTCAATGAAACTAAGAGCTGGTTATTTCAGTTTATTATTTAGCCACATGGTAGGATTCATAGGCTAGGGAAATGTTCCAATATTTATGTAGTTCATATACAGCCATCTTTTCCTTTGTCTTTTTCAGGTGACTGTACCCTTATAACTTCCATTCTTAGTTCAGAAAATATTTCCATACATTTATTTTAGATTTGCTTAATAATGTCATAAGTGGTATTTAACTTTTTAATCTCTCTGCAATTTATTTTGGTATGTGATGTATGGTGAAGCTTTAGTTAATTGTGTTTCCAAATAGGTGATTTTCTTACTAACACTGCTAATAATCCTTCTGTATTATTTGTTTACTTATTTTTTTCAGGGACCTAACAAAAGGAGACAGAATAGGGGGTGGGAGGACCTGAGGGCTCAAACCCTGGACTTGAACATCTGTAAAATAAACAATTACCGTGCTTCCTTCACGAATTCCACAATATTCGTTGCACTTTGGTTTCATTCTTAGGCAAAATTTCATTGTGTACAATGAAAGTATTTGCAAAATATGTGCAGGTTTGAGGTTAATTATGGTAAAACAAATATAAAACCAACAGCATCATTTCCCTCAAATTTCACCTGTTAATTGTCATTATTTAATCAGTAGCGGTTTGCTAGTATTTATGTGGTATGGTCTCTCCTATATGTGGAATCTAAAAAAACCAAACCAAACCAAACCAACCTCATAGACACAGAGAACAGATTGGTGGTTGCCAGAGTGGGTGGAGGGTGGAAGAAATGGGTGAAAGGGGTCAAGAGATAAAAAGTATAAAAGCAAAAAAATGCAGTTGATGTAAAACAGACACAGAAATTTTGTTATATTTTAAAAAAATTAAAAACGACCACAAAAATATATATATTTTACAATTGTTTTACTATATAGTCTTCTTATAAATATAACAATAGTGAATATTTCTGGGCTAGTTTTCTAGTCACAGTAGTCTATTAAGACTTTCCTCTCCAAGTTTTACTCACCAACCTTTTCTATTTAAGATTCCTGATGAACTTTTGAATCATCTGCTATATGTCCAAAAAAAATCTCATTGGTATATTCATTATGATTATATTTAACTCATATATTGATTTGGAAATTTTGACTCTTTGCGATACTCAGTCTTACCTTCCAGAAACACAGTATCCTATTGCATCAACCTAATACAATCTGTTTGTTATTCTCTGAAAATATCATTTTACACCTTCACTCAGTTTATGAACTTGTGTCATACATCCTTGAGAAAAGACAAGTCACACAGGATTCCTCATCTTCCACTACCAAATTTACCAGCACATCTGCCCATAGCTTTTTGTCTTTTAAAAGAGCCCATCAAAGGCCAAACTTTCTGCTAGTGTTCTTGATCCCTAGCTCTCTCATTACTCAAAGAAATTGGGTTGTAATTGCCTGCTGCTCTTTGCATCACCTCCCTCTCTATTGGAATATTTACTATAGGTTACACATATGCTCTAGTAGCTCCCATCTTAAAGAACCCTTCCATGAACCACATTCCACCAGGTAGACTCCATTTCTCAGAGCAAATCATCTTGAAAAATGTGTCTATGCTCATAGTTTCAATGTTCTTTTCTACCATTCATGACTCATGACATTGGAATCAGGCTCCCCCCTCGACCACTGACCCCCAGACCACCCCCTGGCACTGCGGTTGTGCTTGTCAACAAGGACAGAGCTGTAAGATTCATCTGTCTGACAAAAAAGATAGTTTATATATTTATAAAATGATAAATATGAATTTTAATATCATTACTTATGATGACCAATGAGCATAAAAGGGCTTAAATTAAAGCCACATTCCATAGGAGATACAATATGTCTTTATAATCAACATATCTCAAAAAATTTTTAAACAATTTTGTGAGAAATACTTCCAACATTGCTATCTACACAGGATTTGTTATTAATGTTTTTAGTCTCCAACTCTAAATGTATGTGATTGTGATTGCGTGTGTGTGTTTCCCTGGATGACTCTGTCTTAAATTGCACTTTCTACTCTACTTGCATACATATTCCTGCTCACTTCCCCAAATTCCTCTTTTTTCCTTAAATGCTAATTGGAAAGACTTGCAATTTAATTCTTCAAGCAGTATTTCATTCATTTTGAATCACGATTTAAAGAACCTATATTTTACAGCTTCATAAAATGCAAAATGAGAATAAAATTGGGAATGCAAAATGGTTCAGTCATTATGGAAAACAGTTTGTCCTTTTCTTATCAACTTTAGATGTTTCATACAACTGAGCAAGTTCACTCTGAGGTGTTCACCCAGGTGAATAGACAACTTATACTCACTCTAAAATCTATTCATGAATGTTTAGAATGGTTTTTTTTCACAATCAATAAAAACCAAAAAAACACATAAGTGTCTTTCAACTGATGAATGGATATATGAACTATGATACATCCATTCAGTTGGATACTTTTCAGTAATAAATGGCAACAGACTACTAATAGACACAATATGGATGAATTTCAAGCATATTATGCTAAATGAAGGGAACTAGACTCCAAATGTCTGATATCATTTAATGACATTCTGGAAAAGGCCAAAAGAGTAGTGACAGTAAGTAAACAGAGCAGACAGTTGGCAGAGGCTTGAGTGAGGGCAGGAGATGATTATGAAAGGGCATCAGAGAACGTGTGGGGTGGATGAAACTTCCATATCTTGATTTTGGTGGTTGTTACATGCCTATGTACATTTGTCAAAACTTGCAAAACTGAATACAAAAAAAAGGATTTTACTGTATGCAAATTATACCTTAATAAAAAGAAAAAATATAGAAAATGATAATTTTAAATAAATGAATTAGAGGCTTTTAATATTCTGCTTCTACAGCTTTCTTTAAGTACCCATAGAAAAGTTTCATTTCCATCTCATTATTTTTCTCAAGAATTTCAGTTTTACTATTAAAAATGCAAATATATTTACTCTTTTTACAATGAATTAAGCTTGAAAACTCATTTACTGAAACAATTTCTGGGTTTACCATTGCTTCCCGTACTATATACACTCCCTCAGCACCACTTTTCATCCTGCTGAAATTATTTTATTGGGAAGCTTTGGCAGTGAATTATTTTAGTTTTTGTTTTTATTTTTCCTCACTCTTTAATGATGGTCCAGCTATGCATTGAATTCTAGTTGTGCAGTTATATTCCATCAGCACTTTCGAAGGTTTTCTCTCTTTTCTATTACTGCCATTGAAAAGTCCACTATCATTTGATTTTCTTTACTAAGTGGGTAATCTGTCTTTTACCTCTGGGAGCATTTAAGATTTTCATTAGCTTTGACATTCTACAGCTTCAGTACCATGTATTTCTTTTTATATTTCCTGTTCAATACCTAGAAAATTGTCCATTCTGTCTTCAAGCACCACTCGTGGCAGACAACAGTAACACCAAGACACATATACTTATGCACAAGATGCACTGGACTGCCAAAGGTCAATGAAGAAGATCTTGTAATTGTAGACTCCACAAAGTACAGTCATATTGAATTGGAAATACTCCAGGCTCAGAGGATCATAAAAGAGACCACTGAGAGGAAGGTCAAAGGAGTATCTCACATATGCCACAAAACCCACCTAATCTCTGTGGAAGAGGGCTGACCATGAAAGGGCCCTTGCTTCCTGCTCTATTTAGTCAGCAGTTTGGAAATGGGACATCAGTGCCTCTGTTAGAGTGAGATAGAAACCTAAGTCTTGAAGCTCATTTAGTAAGAGAAGAGAGCAGGGATACCAGGCCAGGAAATGTGCCCAAGAGGATTCATTAACATCCTGTTTCCTGGACCAAAATTTCCAGGGGAGACAATTTCTGCTGAAAAGATAAGTCCCTCTGAACTTAGGAGAATAATAAAGGACCCTCCTCCAGGACAGGGCCCTGGCTCACTGTTGCCCCAGAGAGGGAAGCGAGGCAGGGTCTCCCCTGGGCAGCTATTCCAATATCTACTTCCTCCAGATTCCTGCTGCTTTCATCTTTGTTCCCAGAACCTAGCAAGAGGAAATAAACATCTTAGCATCTGGACCCAAGAACTCAGTCTGACAACAGCTCCATGTTGTTTCTTAGAAACTACCCAAGGACTGTACTAGCTCTCTGTGTGTATCTACTGCATCTACAGAGAACACCTGCAGAGGAACAGAAGGAGCAGGCAGGGCCCTGACACCTACCTTTGTCAGACTCTTAAGACTCTTAACACAACATAGCAAAAATTAAGTCAATTGCATACCTCTGAAAAAGTTTTATCTTCCTTCCCCTTTTATATGGGAACATCCTTGACCCTCAAACAACCCCCAGGGCAGTCTGCATTGTCCGGCAGCTGGGCTTCTCATCACTCGAGGTAAGGACTTTGTCTATCTTTCAGGGAAGTGTGCAGCCTCTAGGAATGTTGAGTTGAGAAACAGAGCCCAAAGCAGTCCCTCAGAACTCAAGCCACTCTGTCTCCAGCTTCTCTAGTGCTTTGGGCTGCATACTCATCCCAATTCCCTCTATTCTTTGTGTTCTAAACATGAAGAGGAATTAATAAGGATGATGAACGGGTCTGTGCTACCTTCCAGGCCTGGGTATCTGCTTCCTGGTGGAAGTATCAGTACCTGTCCTTAGACCCCAGTGGGCTTTGCTGGCCTCTGATAAGGCGTTTTTGCACCAATCTGATGATAAATGCCTCCAAAGTGCCATCTAAGAGCAGATGATATACCTGCCATCCACTCTAATATGTTTATACCATTAAAACCCTGTGGAGCCATAAGAGGTCAGTAGAAACCATTGAAATGTCAAAATATAGAAGCCACAATATAGGGAAGTGATTTAGAGAAAGATGCTTCACTTACAGATTCTCTAACACATGTTCACAGTTGTCTTTATCTGTCCAGTATCCATGACATATGACACTGATTTCTGTCAACTGTCTCTTCTGGTTTCTCTCTCAGATTGGGTACCACACTCCAACAGCAGCTTCCAGAACAGGAGCTCTTCCTCCCTGTCTCTATGGCCCTTCAACCCAGTGTGGGTACTCTGGCCCTGCAGGAGGGAGAGTGGGTATCTGGATCAGGTGCAGGGGAGGGAAGGTAGGATTATTGAGGCTAATTACAACAAACAGCACATGCTCTTTGTTGCCTACACCTTTTGCCATTTCTCCCAAACACAAACACTCTGCTCTTTCTGGGCAGGGCCTTGTCTGCTTTTTCTGAGTCCTCCCAGGCTCACATTTTATCATAACCTGTTAAAAAAAAACACAACAAAAACCTATGTTTGCATTGATCCTGAAGGTTTACCTCTAAAAGCAACACCATGTCAAACATGCCATCTCCTAGTCTCAGAGAGTCTAGAATCCCTTCTCTCTCAGGCCCACAGAGAGTGTGGGGCTGGTCAAGAGAGGTGAACATACTAAGGAGGACACACTTTAGGTCTTCCCATGAGGCTTGTGTCTACAGCCTTGAGTGCTGCAAACAAATGTAGGCATACGTTACATGGAAAAAGAAGTAGAGTGTCTTGTTGAAATCACGTTTCTGTACCTGTTTTAGAATTTCATATTAAGAATAGGTCTATGCCAAACACTAACTGGCTTTTTAAATCATTAGTCAAATATTAGACTTAAAAGATAGGTGCAAAAATAATCAAGGGCATGGGTGCTAGAACATCACTTTCCTATTAGGAGAGAGATGTTTCATCTTCCCAAAAGAAACACATTCAGGTTTGATGTCCTGAATAGTATTCTCATGTAGTGATCTCTTAATGTTTAGCTGTTACTGTGATGCCTGTTCTCCATTTGGATGGTTCTTTCATAGAGGTAAAATTAAAAGAGTCAGAAACTCAGAGATTAAGAGTTCACGTCAGTTTCCAGTGGGAAGGGGATCACCTCATTTGATTCATGTTGCCATCCTGAGGGACCTCTGATGTTACAAACTAGGGGACTAGCTTAGCAAAACCTCATTGAGAATCCATTTGGTTCCAGGCAACTAAAGACACAACCCAGAATGGAGCACTGGAATTCCTCCCTGGGAAGTGGCTTCATATTGATAGGGATTCTGAATGACAGTGGGTCCCCTGAACTGCTGTGTGCCACAATTGCAATCCTGTACATGTTGGCCCTGACCAGCAACATCCTGCTATTCCTGGTCATCACAATGGATGCTTGGTTCCATGTGCCCATGTACCTCCTGCTCGGGCAGCTCTTGCTCCTGGACCTCCTTTTCATGTCTGTTGTCACTCCCAAGGCCATCGTGGATTTTCTGCCTAGTGAAAACACCATCTCCTTTGGGGGCTGTGCCCTTCAGATGTTCCTGGCACTGACACTTGGTGGTGCGGAGGACCTCTTACTGGCCTTCATGGCCTATGACAGGTATGTGGCCATTTGCTATCCTCTGAACTATATGGTCCTCATGAGGCCCAGGGTCTGCTGGCTCATAGTGGCCACATCTTGGGTCCTGGCATCCATCAGTGCTTTAGAACATACCTTGTATACTATGCACTTCCCTTTCTGTGCATCCTGGAATATCAGGTATCTGCTCTGGGAGATCCCACCTCTGCTGAAGTTGGCCTGTGCAGATACCTCCAGATATGAATTCATGGTGTATGTGATGGGTGTGATCTTCCTGATGCCCCCTCTTGTTGCTATCCTTGCTTCCTACACATTAATTCTATTTACTGTGCTCCACATGCCCTCAAATGAGGGGAGGCAGAAAGCCCTTGTCACCTGCTCTTCCCGCCTGACTGTGGTTGGGATGTTCTATGGAGCTGCCACATTCACGTATGTCCTGCCCAGTTCCCTCCACAGCCCCAAGCAGGACAACATCATCTCTGTTTTCTACATGATAGTCACCCCAGCCCCAAGCCCTTCACCTACAGCCTCAGGAATAAGCAGGTCATGGGGGCCTTGAGGAGGGTCCTGGGGAAATACATGCTGCCGACACACTGTACCATCTAGGAGGAGCTTATGGCTTCCCTCAAAATTCATTCCTCCTCAACATCAGGAGTTTTCTGCTAAGAGTCAAATACTCAGGGTATGAAAACCATAGTGCTGAGTACATCTTTTAGCAGAAAAATGAAGGAATGTACTTTGACTTGTCAAACGCTCGTTTAAATCTTCCTTCAGGAGGTAATTTATAAGGTATGAGTCACACTCTGTTTAAAATTTACTCTCTATTTTCCCTGGTAGCTTCTGAGTTAAACGGGACTAGTGTCTTCTGCCAACTTGGGACATGACCTCTGACTTTTGGAGTCCAAATTGGACCAACATGAGAACCAAAGAGAAGAAAGTTTCAAGTGGGAGGCTTAAGCAAGGCCCATACATCAGGGGAGGGGACTTTGAGATCTGCACAAATTCTAGACCAAGTGACCTTGTTAAAAGATCATGTACTGGCCTAGTTTTCTGCCCAAACTGGTAGTAGTTTTCATGTATTTGCATCATGTTCACTCCTCCTTGTTCCAACCATCACCCGTCATGGAAACTGCTCCACCTGGACATCCAGCAGGTGTTTTTTCTGTTTCGGTTCTTTTGTTTGTTCGTTTGTTTTTGACATGGGAATATTTTATACTGCCTAAATTTCAGTTGCTACTGAAATGAATAAAATAAAAAGTTAAGGCATCTCATAAGTAAGATCCATGGTAAACAACTATGCTTCTTCCTTGGAAATAAACAAACACAGAAATAAAACAAAACTGATGTTCCATTGTTTCAAGGCTGTCTTGAAATGTCCCTACAATTGCAAAGGGATCATATGCTTGCTACGTGTGGTTGTGTGAGTGTGTGGATGTGTATTTGTGCTGAAAAAGGAGGGGACAACATATAAATTCCTTTTCTAGTAGTTTGAATATGCTGTTCTACTACATTTGCTTATAAGTCTGGAAATATTTAAACAAAAGCTGGGAGTTGTTTTGAAACTTCAAAATAACATGGCTCATCTGAGGGGCACTATTTTAGGGAATATTGCTTTTTGTGGAAATTGGCTAACACTTTCCCTTTTTTTTCCCAAAATAAAACAGTACTGTTTCATCTTTAATGCTAAAAGAAGTCATTTTAAAAAAAATTAGTAAGATAAAGAATACTAGAAATAGACAAAAAGCAACTAAATTCTCTTACCCAGAGATAACCACTACACATATTTAGATGTATTTCCTTTCATTTTTAGTGCAGGCATGTATTTTACTGGGTTGATATGTGCATGTAGGATAGAGATTTTTTTCACTTATCAATATATAGTGAATGTTTTCCGTATTACATGATGACTTATAGAGCAGTGGCAAATAGCCTGGGGTCAGTTGTCACAGTGCCAAGGTTTGAATTCAATACACCCCCACGTATATAACTTTGAGCATGTTACTTAACCTCTCTATACCTGAGTCTGTACACCTAGAAATTGTTTATTAGCAGTAATACTAGGACCTACTTCATAGTTGTTGTTGTGAGGTTTAAATAAAAGTTAGTAAATACAAATGTAAGTGTAAATATAAGTGTATTAAATATAAGCACTTTAGAGCAGCACCTGGCATATAATGAGTACTTAACAAATCTTAACTCTCACATGAATAAATAGCCTTGGAAATACTTTTACATGGTGACTAATATTACATCAAATGGAAGCTTTGTAATAGAATTGGCTATTTTGTCACCATTATACATGTAATATTGGTGGTGGTGGTAGGTGGTATGTTTGTGTGAAAACAACGATCTTGATCTCTTAGGTGTGTGACTGATTTTTTCCCTTAGAATAAATTCTTATGAATGGGATTAGGAAACCAAGGTCAAAATCTGTTTAAAATTCTTGATATAAAAATACAAGTTGATTTTTACAAAATGTTAAACATTTTGCATCTTTACTAGCAACATTTAAGTGTACTTAATCCACCAACCTTTTTCCATGTTAAGTTTAACATATAAATAGTCTCTACTAATTTATTAGGTATAGCATTTAAATCTATTATTTTAATTTGGATAAATTATTATTTTATCTTATTGAGTAATTGGAATTCCTTACAGATTATGCATACTGATACTTTCTTATATTTATGATAACTCTTTTTCCAATTTGTTATTTGAACTTTTGTGTCTCCATGGTAACAATTTTTAGACTGAGAGGTATTAAAAATATTTTCATAGTGAAATCTATCCATCTTTTCCGTTTTCTTTCATCGATTTCACTGTTATGATGTGTTATGATGTTATGATGTGTTACCTCTCTCTTTAGGTAAAAATTTATATGTTTTACTTTTTCTTAATCATTTCATAATTTGCATTTAAATTTTTAAATTAATTTCTAATTTATATTGATATGATCACTTTTAACTTTTTTCTAGGTAGTCACTTTTCTAGTGATGTTTTAAAATAATCTTTCCCTTTTCCATTAATTTCTTCTATTTCTTTGATCACATATTGTATTCTCGTAAATGTGGTATTAAGCTACATTTCTTGGCTATCTCTTCAGTTCTAGCTTTGTTCTCTTCTTTACTCTTTCTGAAGATATTTGATTCTATCATATACATCTTAAAAACTTACTGGTAATTTGATCAAGAATATATTCAGCTTATAAATAAATTTGTCATTTCGGTATTTTTTGCAATACTCAGCTATGCCTTCCAGAGGACAGTGTACTACTACATTTCAGAAACCCAGTCTCGATTCTCTCCTTAAAATGACTATTTCACACTTTCAGTCTGAGCTGAGGATCTTACCCCGTATTTCACTTGGAAGGGAAAATGAAGTGTAGAGTAAGAAGGAGAAGGGAAGAAAGAGCAGCCCACATCTTCTGGTCTTCAAACCTCCCACACACCTGTATGTACCTGCACATTCACATCCTGTTTTCGCCATATACAAATGTCTGTCCAAGGCTGACCCCTCTGCTAGTAATTTGGATACCAATCTCACTCACCTACCAAAGATTTTGCACCTGCAGAATCTCTTTAATTTCTTTCATCAGAATCTCTTTAATTATTTTCTTCCTCTCTTCTGGATCATAACCATAAGGATACAAATATGCTCCGATTATGCCATCATAAAAATCCCTTTCCATGACTCCACATCCCCTTCAGTTACTGACTCATCTTTTCAGCTTCTCTTCAGAGAAAAAAACAATCCAAAATGGTGTGTCTACACCTACTTTCTTCTCTGCTGATTTTCTATTTGTTTTTTAACCTACTCTCAATCAAGCTCTGATCTCTTTCCATGGACTGTTCTTTGTCAAAGTCATCACTGATGTTCTAAATAAAGTGGTCATTTCTATATTCTCCTCCTTCTGTTCAGCAACATTGACACAACTGACTGAACCCTTACTCTTGAAATTGTTTCTTCTCTTGGCTTCTAGATACCACACACCCTTAGTTTTTCTCCTTCCTCCCTTAACTGTTTTCACCTTATGGAATCCCCTTCTCTTTCTGAATTTGTAAGTTCCCCATGGTACTAATATGAACTTTGCCGGGGTCCCGCCCTGGCGGACTCCAGGTTCCTGAGGGATGGACGGCGTCGGCGCAATGACTGAGGGGGAAATAAGGGGGACGTGAGACTTGGGTTGGTGTTAGCAAGTCCGACTTTACTGTGCACCAGTGTCGTTTATATATTTTTCAGGATTAGTACAGAAATAGTTCTACAAATATTCTCAGAGAGATAAGGAAGTGAAAAATGAGCACAAGAATATTTATTAGCATTCTATTCTATAGAGCATAAGGTTAATGGTAGTCTTCTCCGCAATTAACTAGTGTTTGTTGTCTCTAAGCTAAAGGAGATAGGTACCTAGGCATCTGTTGTGATTCATGGTAAAGTTAAATCAAAGAGAGAAGGTCCAGGCCTCCGGACAGGACAGCAGTCCGTCTGGTTACATCCTGGTGGAGCCATCCCTGCCTCCCTCAATCATTTACACCATTAGTGTAGATGGTTAATGGGAACAAAAGGCGACTCCAGGGTGTCTTATCCCCAGGGCTATCTGCATTCTCAGCGGGCAGTTAAACATCTCTACTTTTTCGCGCCCTTTAGGGGGTGGAAGCATTCCTTTGTCTTTTAGATTGTGGAGCTAACAGTCCCTTAAGCACACTGCCGGAGAAAGTATCATTTTGTTAGTAAAGTAAAGGGCTGAAAAGCTAAGCTAAACTATATATCTTCAGTAATAAAAAACAGAAATAAGTATAAACATAACCTTGCTAGGAAGCATGCATATAATTCAGAAAATATCAGGGGTATCGGCCGGCCATTCTTCACCGAGGGGCATTCTTGCACCCCTCGGCCCTTCTACTCATCAATTTATTATTATTTATTGCTTTTAGGAGAAAACCTCTATAACATTTTAACAGAAAGCAGAAGGTCAAGAATAATATATAGATACTTCCTGATCATCCAATTAACCAACAAACTTAGAAGGACGATGCATATATATTTAGACAAAGAACTGGAGGGAGAAGGAAACATTAACCAGACAGAGGCCATAAACCTAATTCGACATCTTATCTGGGCAGGATTCCTTTCTGATTGTCTCAAATGGGACTGTGTGCTCCTCCAATAATTAACTGAAAAATATCTTGAAAGTTACCTGCAGGTGGTCACATTCTCTTACTATAGCTAATTTTCCCAGGAGGTAGTGCCTCCCAAGCAGCCGCCCAAAGGAGTGAAAACTGGAGGTTAAGAAAGGAAAAGGAATGAAGGGCAATTAGAAGCAGCACAGGTTTCAGAACTATGTGAGGGGCTGGCCGGTTATTCTTCACCAAGGGGCGACCCTGCACCCCTCGGTATTAATCGGCTGGACCCTGTCAAACAGCCGATCAAATGATGTAGCCACGGCTCCCAGCAGAACTTCTTTTTCTTCTCATTCCATAATTTCTTCCAGAGAAATTTCATCTAGTTGCATAGGTTTAAAAGCACCTGACTGCTTCCATAAACCACAGACTCATATCTCTAATTACCTACTGCTATGTCTAGTAGGAATTTCAAACTTAATCCAAAATATATCTCTTGATTAGTCCTCCTGCTAGTCTGTTCTTTCCTCAGTATTTTCCATCTAAATCAATAGCATCATCATTTGCACAACTATCAAACTAAAACTTAAGTATAAACATTGTTTTCTCTTTTTGCTTTACTGCCCTGTTGAGTAAATCTTGTTGGTTTCATCTATACAGTACATTCCAAATATGTGTACTTCTCTTGGTCTCCCCTCAAGTATCTTAGTCCAAGTCACCATAATCTGTTGCCCATTGCTCTACAATTGCTTCCTGTTAGGTCTTTCTCTTTTTGCTCTTGCCCTACTATAATCTATTTTCTCCCTAATATACAGATTTAACTTCACAAATATACAGCCATGCACTGCGTAATGACGTTTCAGTCAACCACAGACCACATATACAATGGCGGTCCCATAAAATTAGTACCATCTAGCCTAATGTGTAGTAGGCTGTACTATCTGAGTTTGTGTTAAGTATACTCTATGATGTTCAGACAACAACAAAATCACCTAAGAATGCATTTCTCAGAATGTATCCCTGTCCTTAAGTGGTGCACGACTGTAAGTCAGAATGTGTCGTATTTCAACAAGGATCCACATGATCTTGCCCTGCCTACCTTTCGGTCCATATTTAAAACTGTGCTCCCTTACACTCACTCTAATCTAACTCCCTTGACCTTCTTGCTGTCCATCGCACAGTCCAAAATTTTTCCTGCTTTAGGTTCAATTAGTAGCTATTCTCCTAATCTGTGATTTTTTTCTGTTAAATCTACTTGGCCTTCTAAATTCCCATCTTAAAAATGTTAACTTCTCAAATAGGTTACCAATATAAGTGGCATGCTCCCAAACCAAAGGCATTATCACACATTGTGTTTCATTGTCTTCATTGCACGTATCGTGATGTGAAACTTGCTTATTTACACTTTAGTTTACTTGCTTACTCTGTCTCCACCTTCCAAAATGAAAGCTCCAAGAGAGCATGAACTATGCAATATGTTTGTCATAGCATCTTCTCCATAAAATCTAGGAATACTTATAGCACAATCTCTAGGTGAAAAGATTTAATGTTTTTATTTAAATATGTTAACTTTTCTAAGGAATCTATAGATTCAATGTAATAACTAACAAAATTTGAATGGCATTTTAAAAAGTGGATTTTGACAAGCTGAGAAGTAGAAAGCTTATGAACTATCAAGAAAATTGTGAAATAGAAGAAAAATGAAAGGTGTGTCCTACCAGCTAAAGCTACAGTAATTGAAATGCAGCAAAAACAAGTGCAGTAATTGACAAATACACCAACATGCATGTTGAAATTTAGTGTATATTATGGCAGCATTTAAAATTAATGGGGACAGAATGACTTAACATGGCTAAATATTTAGGAAAAAAGTGTACCATACTAACTCATGTACATAAATTTTTGTAAAATAAATTCTAGATATTTTAAAGATCTAATGGTTAAAAGCAAAGTCTGGTGTCAAGTTGCCTATCTCAGATTCGTGTCCCACTTGTTTCCCAGCAGTGACATGGGGCCTTATGATTGAGTTTCAATGAATGGAATGTGAGCAGATGTGATTAGCTCCTTCTTAGCTACAAAACCGTCCAGTGAACAACTTTTATCCTCACCTTATCGATATTTGCATGCAGGATGACCTTGAAAGCCTCAAATGGCAGAGCTCTCCAGCTTGGGCCCATGTATTTGCCACTCCATCCCTCAACTAGCATTTAGTGTAAGTGAAAAATAAACTTCTACCTGCTAAGCCACTGAGATTTCAGATTTATCTGTTAAGAGTGGGGGTCAGCAAACATGTCCCTGGGGCCACATCTGAACTGCCTGCTTTTACAAATAAAGGTTTATTGTAACACATTTATTTTTGTATTATCTATGACTGTTTTCCTGCTACAGTGGCAGAACTGAGTTGTTGTGATGGGGACAGTATGGCCCAAAAAGCCTAATATTTATTATCTGGCCCTTTATGGAAAAAGTTTGCTGATCGTTATGTTGGAGCAACTAGTTTTACCTTATGTAAAGAAATACTAGAACTAGCACTAGAATATAACACCGGAGACTATTTTTATTACTTTAGGGGTGAGGAAAGCCTGTCATAGTAAAAAGGAAAATCTATGTCCTCCTCCCAGCTTATTCTCTGCCATCCTGCCTCTTACCCCTCACCGTACCTGTACCTGGTTAACTCTTTCATCCTTCAGTTTTCAACTTACAAGTCACCTCCTCAGGAATGCATTCTATATGCTTTCTAAAAGTCTTTAACATTGTGATTCCATTATTCTGCTGTAGTAATTTTTGCTAAAGTCAATACTGACTAAACTGGCAAATTTAATACTCTGTGGTCAATACATAAACCTGAGACATTTGAGAAATCTTTCCTGGAGGGAGTCTCCTCTCGCCGCTTCTGACACACCTTTACTCAGTTTCTCCTTCTCTTCCTCTGATTCTGAATGCTCTGGGCTTGATTGCCTACTCTTCATCCACCTTGAAATGTTGGTAACTCCAAGGTTCTGTCTTGGATTCTTTCCTGCTGTCTTTCTCCAACACCAGGTCTCATCCAGGATTGCACTTTAGAATTTTCTTGGGATATTTTTATAAAACATATGTACTGCCTTCATCTTTCCTACCCTTATGGTCTGAGTAGGACTAGGCACTGGCATTTTATTATAACTCTCTCAAGACTGCAAGGCGTACAGTTGGTGTTCTGGTTTAAACCTTTGGCACACATCCTTGGGTGTGTCAAACTTCGCTTGCATTTATTTGCAGTAAACTTCTAAATCTATTTCTCCAGCCCATATCTCTCTCCTAAACTCCAGCTTTATTCATTCATTCAAAATGATGTTTCTTAAGCAACAGCAATGGCTAGGCACTTTATTAGAATTGATAATATAGAGATCAACAAGCAGTCACAGTCTTTACTGCCATGGTATTTACAGTCTAATGGAGGAGTCAGACATTAAGCAAATAATTATACAATTTATTTATATAAAGGCCATCCCATTGCCTAAAAAGCAGTGTACAATTTTTAGTGTGCTTAAGAATCACCTGGGGCTTGTTACAAATGAGATCGACTGTCCTACCCCATCCGGTACTGAGAAATATTTTCAAATAGCAACCCAGGGACCAATTCAAGTCATGATATGTAAAATTATGGTCTACATTATGAATGCCTTACCGCCAAGGTATGAAGCAGTGTCTCAGCCCTCCTTTTCTTAATTTTATCCTCATTTTCCATCACTGTCCCATAAATTCCCCAATGTTCAGCATTTTCAGAACTACATGCTGGGCAAATTCTTTAGGACTGAATTCACATCATTTCTCAATCTAGACTCTTTCGTCTTACTTTTCAGCTTTATATCTCACTATTTTCCTAATGTTACACGTACTTTTAGAAAAACTTTTAGAAAAACATTTGTTATTCATTAAATGTGCTTTCTTTTAAATTTCAAAAAGTGTTAAATTTAGAATTTAAGGCCATGTTAGAAATAAACAAGTTTACCTTCTAGACACATATCTGGGATATATTTTACATATGTATATATATATATATACACACACACACAAACACACACACACACACACACTATTTTGAATATATTCAAAATATAATTGATGAATGCATGCAAGAATGAAGGAAAGGATCCATTTGCCAGAAATGTATTCTTATATTTGTGACACTTTTATTTGTTTATTTGCTTCTTTGTTTTTTTTTTTAACTTATACATCTACTTGGTTTAATTTCCTTATTAGCTTGTATGGGCTTAGAGAGTAGAGACTGTGCACTTGTCTACCTTTCATTCCCTTCCTTCTATCTTTCATTCCTCCCTTCCTCTCTTCCTTCTTTCCTTTCTTTTTTCCCCCTTTCCTTTTCTTTTTGTATTTATTTCCTTAGATACTTTGTATCTATCAAGTTGCTTTGCTTTGAATAGGAAATTTGATTAATTTATCTGAGAAGAGATATGGAAAAATAAGAGAAGAAAAAAAGTGGAGGAATGGGATGAAAATGGGAAAAGTTTACAAGAAAATTGCTTCTCTCCACATCCCTGAAATTTCCATCATAACCAGAGACCCTCACTTTCAAAAAGGTTACTTTGCAGTCACTCTCCTGAGAGCATCTTTGACATCCTTGTTCCTCAAACTATAAATGATGGGGTTCAGCATGGGTGTCACTGCTGAGTAGAACACAGAGATCATTTTATCCCTTTCATTCATTATCTTGGAGTTTGGCCTCATGTAGGCAAATATTGCTGAGCCATAGAAGAGGACAACGACAATGAGATGGGAGCCACAGGTAGAGAAGACCTTGAGGCTGCCCTCCCCAGACTGCATCTGGATCACAGTGGAGATAATATTCCAGTAGGAGACAAGGATCAGGGAGACAGGAGCTAGGAGGATGACCACACCCATTACAAAGATGACCATTTCTGTGCTGTAGGTATCTGCTGAAGCCAGCTTCAGGAGGGCAGGAGGTTCACAAAAAAAATGGTTAATAACATTGTTCCCTCGGTAGGGCAGACTCAATGTGAATATTGTGTCCACCAGAGACCCAAGTGCTCCAATGGCCCAAGACCCGATGGCCAGCTGGACACATACCCAATGTGTCATGATAGTGGAGTAGTGCAGGGGCTTGCAGACAGCCACATACCTGTCATAGGACATCACTGCCAGCAGTGCACACTCTGTACACCCCACCAGAAGTAAAACAACTATCTGTATTGAGCATCCAGCAAAGGAAATGGTTTTCCTCTTTACCAGAAGGTGGGCCAGCACCTGGGGGACAGTGGTAGTAGAAAAACAGAGATCAGCAAAGGATAAGTTTCTGAGGAAACAGTACATGGGTGTGTGGAGCCTGGAGTCTGTGTGAATGAGCACAATGATAAGCAGATTTCCCAACACAGTCAGCATGTAGATGATCAGAAAAAGGAAGAAGAGCAAAACTTGTGTCTGTGGATCCTGTGAAAGGCCCAGGAAGACAAATTCAGTGACATAGGTTTGGTTTTCTTCTCCCATAAATATGTATTACTGTTCATAGGTTAGCACCAAGAAAAGAAACACATATTGGTTAGTTACAAAGAAGAAATGAATAACTTAAGTCTTATTAATAAAACTGGGTTATCGATTTCTCTCTCTTAACAGCTTTCATATGTCAGAAGATAGAGTTCTGTCTTTGCTCAGTAGTTCTGACAGTTGAAAGCCAGTTCCGGTTTTCCCTCCTTCTGAATATTCTAGTAGATCCAGAGGGGCAGAAACTCTCCTGAATCTGCTATGTGACCCCACCTTGACTGGACTGTGCATAGTCCTGAAAAGACTGGAGTGCTGCTCGCAGTGCAGCCTTCCTTCTATGTAGGTTTGGGAAACAAACAAATGGATGTCACTTAGATTTTTAAGTTAGATTTTAATTCTGAAAACTGTCTGATAACATTCATGAAGGCTGATTTTTTTTCATTATTCTATTTACTAAATAATCACAATATAGCACTCTGAACAAGGAATGGGGAATTAAGGGACGATGTAGTAGTCTGTGATCCTGACCTTTAACTAAATTTTTCTTCAATCTGAAGAAGGTGCTGGAGAACATCAGTGAAATTAGCTGCCTCATTGGTCATTCTGCACTCAGGAGCATCCTTTAAATGTGCCCTAATCTGTCCGCCACACTCTTTTACCTCTCTTCACCAAGGTCCTTTGGCCATAATAATATTAATTATCGTATGTTGGGCACTCTCATGGTGCCGGTCATTATTAATAGTTTCTTTACATTGACTTTTTATTTTAAATCCTCTTAAGTCCTTATGAGGCAGTCATTACTACCCCCAGTACACAGACGATGAAACAAAGACTCAGAGAGATTTTCAAGCTAGTTCCCCTAAGAGTTCCTCACTCTTTCTGTATCCTGCAATTCTTTTTGTTTCTTACTCAGAAACTGGTTGTATAGAAGGTTAAGCTTTTGCCCAGTTCTCTTCACTTATTCCCCACACCCCCTCCTTGAAGACAAGCCCACAGATCTTCTCCATTTTAAGGATTTTAGAACTAAACCACCAAGGCAGAGCTATCCTTAGGCACAAAAATAACAGTCAGGCATATTTTAACAGATATTTTAAAACATTTTTGGGAGGTCTTGCCCAAATGACAATAGAAGGAATTAAAGGAACAAATATTGAGAAAAGTGATAAAGGTTATTTGCAGATAATGTGATTGCATATCTTAAAAAAATTAAAAAGAGCCAATTCAAGCCTGTAATAACTGCGAAGAAATGAGGTCTGGTACAAGATGAGTAATTGAACATTCTTGTGTTATATACCAAAATAAGCAAACTGAAATTTTGGTAAAAAAAATTCCTTCACAACAGCTAAACTTAACAAAATGTACACTTAGGAAGCATTCAAGACCTATTTAAAGAAAACTGTGAAACATAATACCTGAATTAATGAATAGACACACTGATTTTATGACTAGCATAACATAGTTTTATAAAGATATTCATTTCATCTGCCGAAATTCCAACCAAGCTCACAGAGGATTTTCATAAGGGAATTTAATAAGCTTTTTCTAAATTTTGTCTAGATAAGTAATTTTATGATAGTAAATGAGGTGTGGAAAAGTAAAATGAGGGAGTAGACAAAACATATCCTCCAAATATAAAATATGTAGTAAATTTCCCTCCCTTATTAATATAGTGTATACCAAGCAGGTATAAAACATTTGACTGATAAATATATTATAGAACTGAGGCAGATCCTAGTATGTACAAAATCTTAACTTGACAAATATGTCATCTTAAATAAGTATATTACTTTACAAAAGATATGGAACAATAGCTTATCACTTTAGAACATTATTATACAGGTATATGTATGTATATTTATACATACAAATAATGTAAGTATAAACAATAATTAATCCAAAATGCATTAATGGTTTAATTTTTTGAAATATTTAAGTTTTCTATGAAATTAGGCAGTGTGTCTATTTATCTATCTATCCAATCTTGAGTGATAAAAGCTTTCCTAAACATGAACACACACACACACACAATCATAAACAAAAATACTAACAAACTTGACAATATAAAAATATCAGACTTCTATGTAGTGGATACCACTATAGATAAAATTTAAAAAAGAAAATAAATCAGAAAATATTTGCAAAATATTCAACAGATTATTTTTATTATTTCTAACATGTAAAGACCTCAGAAATCAATAATAAAAGACATACAATCCATTAGAACAATGGGAAAAGGATTTAAATACCCCATTCACAAAGAATAAGTAAAACTGAACAATAAACATGAAGCAAAAACATGCACATTAAAACAACCAATAAGGTAATTATATTTTGCTTTTCAGATAAAATTTAAAAGAATATAAAATCCAGGTTTGGTTGTCAGTTGGGGTTCTGCAGCTAAACTGCAGGGTTTGAATCCTGTCTTTTCTAGGTGATGTGTGACCACAGAAAATTACTTAGCTTTTCTGTGCCTAGCTTTCCTCATCTGTGAAGTGGTGATATAAATAATACATGTCTCATAGTATTTATGTAAACATTAAACAAAATATAAAATATTTTAAGAATCTAGGACAGTAAACAGGGCTAGCTCACAATATTATATAACATTCCATTATAATAATGGGATTGTGACCTAGAAGCAACTGCAAGATTAGGAAAATAATTGTTAAGGACAAAGAGTAGGAACACAGTTGCTGCATGTTATTGAGGAAGATGCTTGTTCTCACTATTTTTACCCTTTGCATTGTTTTGCTCTTTGTACATCCTTTATGATTGGAACTGTGTTGCTAGAAAAATTCGATGTCAATAAAATATATACGATAAAATAGAATTCAGCATCAAAAAAGAAGGAAACCTTGCCATTTGCAACCACATGGATGAACCTGCTGGACATGATTCTGAGTGAAATAAGCCAGATGCAGAAAGACAAATACTGTATGATCTCACTTATACATAGAATCTAAAAAAGTTGAACTTATATAAGCAGAGAGTATAATGGTGGTTACCAGGGACTAGAGAATAGGGCAATGTTGGGAAAAGGGAACAAAATTTCAATTATGCAGGATGAATAAGTTCTGGAGATCTAATGTACAGCACGGTGACTATAGTTAATAATACTGTATTATATACCTGAAAGTTGCTAACATAGTAGATCTCAATTATTTTATCAAAAAAAGGTAACTATGTGATGTGATGGATATGTGAATTAGCTTGATTGTGGTAATCATTTCACAATGTATATGTGTATCAAAACATCACATTGTATACCTTAAATATACTCAATTTTTATTTGTCAATTATACCTCAGTAAAGCTGGAAAAAAAATCTCTAACATTCACAAAACAAAATTTGAAAGTAAAAAAAAGAGAAAAATAACTGTAACATACACAGCAGATTAAGGATTAATATCCTTAGCATCGAAAGTCTAATAATAAATTAATAAGAAAATGAACTATAAGTATTACAGGAGAAAAGTATAAATGTGACGGCAATTCATAATAAGTAAATTTCAATATCGGTAAAATTAAACAATGACAAATAAAATTAGATGCTTTTTTTGATAATCAGATGGGCATGATTTTTAAAAATATATAATATTCAGTGGTAATGAGATACTTATTTTGTTGGAAATATAAATTATTAAAACCTGCATGAGGGGTAATTTGTCAATATATAAAAAGTGCATTAAAATGAGCAAAATACTTTGACAAAGTAGATTCAAACTTTTTATTTTGTCATAAGTGATTATAATATTTTGTCTAAAAGTAATATGGTAAAATGAATCTGAGGATGTTTATTACAATGTCAATTATAATTATAAGCTTTGAAAAAAGACAAATATTCTTAAATAAATATAGAACATCCAAATGATGAAATAAAATGTAGCCAGTGAAAAAATGTAAAATTATTTTATGACATCAAAAATGTTTGCAAAATATTTAAGATAGAAAAGTAGATTTTTTTTTTTTGAGGAAGATTAGCCCTCAGCTAACTACTGCCAGTCCTCCTCTTTTTGCTGAGGAAGCCTGGCTCTGAGCTAACACCCATGACCATCTTCCTCTATTTTATACGTGGGACGCCTACCAGAGCATGGCTGCCAAGCGGTGCCATGTCCGCACCCAGGATCCGAACCAGCGAACCCCGGGCCGCCAAGAAGCGAAACGTGCGAACTTAACCGCTGCGCCACCAGGCCAGACCCCAGAAAAGTAGATTATTAAAAACATTTGACACTATAATTCTCATATTAAAATTTGTCTCATGTAAAGTATGCTTGTGTGTGTGTTTTTCTGAGTGATGGGATTATAAGTGACTTTTTCTTTTCATCTTCGTGTGATTTTATAGTTTCTAAATGCTCTATAATAAAAACATTGTTTTATAATCAGAAAATACATAATAATCTTTCACTAAATCCTTTGTAATCTGGAGCCCGCCTACTTCTTCACTCTCATCTCTTGCCTCTTCCTATCTTCTGACTTTATATCCTGGAACATTATAAATATTCTTTCTAAAAGCTACTATTCATTGAGAGGTCCTGCATTAAACTCTTTAGAGTCATCATCTCATTTAATCTTTAGAATGACCTTACTCTTTGGTAATATCATCTTTCCATTTTATGTAAATAATGAAACTGAGCCTTAAGACAGTCAAGTAAGTTTTCAATAACTGGGATTAGAATCTAGGTCCCTGGATCCAAGCCCCATGCACTTAACCACCACACATACTGCCTCTTTTTCAAAACCTAATAATGTCAAAATAACAATTAATGTGATACAGCAGAGCAAGAGTGAAACCAAGCAGACTTCCATTTTGCTGTACATGAAAATGAACATTAGTTGCCTTTCTTGAAATGTTATTTTTTTGTTTGCTCTGTTTTTCTTAACTTTGCTTTCGTTTCTTTAATTTCATTGTTAAGTATTCTAAATATTTTTTACTTTAAAGAGAAAAAGGCAGTATAATTTACCATAGCCAAGAAGTGGAAGCACTCCAAGTATCCATGAATGAGTACACAAAATGTGTTCTATACATACAATGGAATATTATTCAGCCTTTAAAAAGAAGGAAATCTTGTCACATGCTATAACATGAATGACCCTTGAGGACATTATGCTAAGTGAAATAAGCCAGTCACAAAAGCACTCATGCTATATGATTCCACTTATATGAGATATCTACAGCAGTCAAACTCATAGAAACAAAGTAGAATGGTGGTTGCAGAGGTTAGGAGGAGGGAGAAAGGAGGAGTTGTTCAATGGGCATAGAGTTTCAGTTTTGCAAGATGAAAAAATTCTAGAGACCTGTTACACAACAATGTGACTATAGTTAACACTATTGAATTGTACACTTAAAAATTGTTAAGATGGTATTTTTATGTTATTTGCTTGTTTACTACAGGGGATATTTCCCTCGGGGGAAAAATAAAGTGAGAAAAGCAGCATGGTCAACATTTACTACGTCTACTTTTGATCGTACCACTGACTCTTCAAATCCTTTCAATCTCATTTTTATTTCCCTGACTGTATTGAAACCAAAGACACTCTTTTAGCCAAGCAACGACCTTTTCTCATCCCATATCCCCTTCAATGTCTATGGCATTTGGCATAATTTAGCCATAAATATTTCTTAAAACCTCTCCTTTCTGTGACTGTAGGACACTGTATCCCACTGTTTCCCTTCTTGTGTCCTGCTACATGTTCACCACGTTCTCTAAACCCCATCCCCAAGTTGTTACTTCTGATTTCTTCTGGTTGTCTACGTCCCATGTGGGAAAAAAGAGTTAGAAAAAAATGCAAATGATACTACTACAAAATTGTGAATCCTTATCTCAGCTTCATACCATTCTTGTAATTCCTTTCCAATTCTGAGTGGTCTGTCTTCTGCCAAGGTACACATCATAAATTTGACCTCTTTCCTAATCTTTTGTCCTCGGCTTCAGTGAAAAAAATAATCTGCAGTTCTCCTAAACTTCACATTCTGTCCAGGAACATTTTGGATGCTCTGACTTTCACCACCCATTAATTGCCTCGAGTCAGCTGCAATGTAATCACTTTCTTAAAGTTCTTTACTCAATCTACTAGGTAGAGTTGACTCTAATCTTCCCAATGTTCAGGAAAAGACTGGTACATATTTCTTTTTGTCAAGTTGTACATTGAAGTATTTGACTAAATATTTGTCTCCCCGGACTGAGTGGTTTCTTCAAGGTGGTAAAACATAAATCACTTATCTCTACTATCTGTATATCAATATCACCTGACACACATACATATATAGTAGAGGTTTAAAAGTGAGTTGAGTGAGTGAATAAGTAGACACTTCCAACTCTCCACACCAACACATTAGCACACCAACACATTCTGTCTCTCAAGGGAAGTTTAAATGAGAAGAGAGGGCTGTGTTGGCTGTTGAGATGTCAAACTCTGTCCTGGGTTTGGGAAGATCTTGGCTTAGAAAATCCCAGGATTGATTACCAGGTTAAAGAAAGTGAATTAACTGACTGTCAGCCACATCCAGATGAAGAAGGGTGAGTTCAACGTGATGGGAGCCAAGACCACCAGGATCTGCGTTTGCCTGCACATATTAGCATACTCACACAGCCTTGTTTGGCCATACAGGGACATCTGAACACAAGGAGATCCTGTCTGTGTCCTCTGGGGCAGGAGGTTCAGGTTCCATCCTCATTCTGCCTACTCCCGCTGTCCAAACCAAAACGACTAAAAGGATTAAGGAAGGAATCCCTGAAAGGAGAGCATAGAGAGAGAAAGGGGCAGAGGAGAGTCTGGCAGATGAGCTTTTTGTGTGAAAGGAGAGGCAGTAGGTGTCCACAGCCCTTGCAATCACCCTAGTATCCCCGGTCTATAGCTTAATCCTTCCCAGAGGAGTTGAAGAACAGGATTCATGAGGATATTACTCAGAAGAAGCAGCTAAAAAGAAGAGCACACATTCTCTCTAGAAGCCAGATGGAAAAGAGAGAGGGGCAGGAGAGTGAAAGGCAAAGCCCACCCAATGAACGGAATCAAGATTTCAGACTCCCGGGGCTGGCCCCGTGGCCGAGTGGTTAAGTTCGCGCAATCCGCTGCAGGCAGCCCAGTGTTTCGTTGGTTCGAATCCTGGGCGCGGACATGGCACTGCTCATCAGACCACGCTGAGGCAGCGTCCCACATGCCACAA